CATTTTCCCTGGATCTGTCCCAAGTGCCTGCTGGGCTCTGAGACTCACCTGGGTGGGGGCTGTGAGGGGGGCTTCTCCATGGAGCGTCTGAGTCCCTCCTGGACGCTTGAGGATGGATCTGGGCTGTGTCACAGACAGGATCTCAGGAGGGCGCCAAGGGCTGGTCCCTGGGCAGAGGTCGGGCTCCACAGACAGGAATCATGTCCTCTCCGGTCCCGGGTTGGACAGTCTGAGGGACCGAGGGAGACAGGGTATTTACCGCCCTCTACGCGGTCTCATTAGCCACACCTCACTCTCCTGCTCCAAGCTCTGAGCTCATGAGTTCCCTGTGGACACTGGATTTGGCAAAAGGAAAGTTTGTTAATGATTCTCTGATCCCAAGAGACTAGATTAGATGTCAAGTGCATCCAGTTTTGTTACTCCCCGGCCTTCATGCTGTAACCACCCAGCACCTGTTCTAATTCTGTGTTCACGTTTTCAAATGTGCTGGGTATTGCGTGGGGCCTATAATCAAGATGAAAATGCAAACATTATGCAAAAAAGGAAAAATGATGTAAAAAATAGATAAAAAATAGCAGCCACACTCCTTGTTTTCATGGCACTTTTGCAAAAGCAAATAGGAATTTCTTTTTTGTTTTCACCCTGATGTGACTGCAGCAGCCTTATGTTTGAAACTCCAGAAGGAAACGCCTGTGTTCCTAACCAGGTAAATGTGCAGGGCCCAAGAGTGAAGATTTTGACAACTGCCGCCCTCACTCTGAAGCCCATGCGCCTCCTCTGACCCCCGAGACTAAGCACGTGTCCTGCTTAGCAGCACAGGGAACTGCTAACACGCTTCAGTGCTGCCAGCGTGAGGTGCTGCCCACAACAGTCCACTCCTGACACCGGGCGTCCCATCCTCACAGGTCACCACCTCATCCGAGCAGCAGTTGTCTGAGCAACCTCTGAATCCTGACCAGTCTTCACTGCCAAAGCTGGGCCCATGACAGCCCCCAAAGGAGGCAAGAGCAGGCGCCACAATGAACTCCAAGTGAGGGTCGCCCATTGCTCTTCTAGCAGCCAGAGGAAGGGCTTGTGGTGACTGTGACGACTCGCCTCAGTACTGAAAATCTTCTTTGGAAGACTATAGAGTTTCCTTAACTTTCTGTCCTTAGTATCCACTTTGTTGTGAGACTTTCTTGTCCTTAGTATCCTTAATTTTCCTATCCTGATGTCCACTTTGTTCCCACACACACAATAGGGATGTTTTCACACCCCCGACTAGGTCTCTATGCACGTTAGGCAGGTTCTGGGAAATAATTTGATGTTACATCAGAGAATCTAATGGCTCACTGGGCTTGCACCAGTAGCCTCCCTCTGTCCACCAGATGTGTCCTAACCAGCTGGGTATCTCACGTTGAACTTGGCATGTCTCTGTGATGTGGAACAGGAGAGGATGGGCCTCAACACCCATGTTCTTTGTGTATATTTAATTGTCAGAATTACGCTGTGCAAATATGTCCTCCCTTGAGTGGGCCGTCCTTGTGCTCTAGTGCTGTGTTCTCGTGCTGCACAGAGCATTTTGATTGATACAGTCCCAGATATTCATGTTCTCCTTTGTTTCCCTTGCTGCTGGGGATGATTCCACAAACACATCTGAAATTTATTTTGAAGAGTGTTTTGCCCACGTTTTCTTCTATGTGTGTTATCATTTTGGGTCTTACATCAAAGTCTTTTATTCATTTTGTTTTTTTAAACATTCATTTATTTATGCATACAAGAGCTGGGGTACAGGTCAGACAGGCGGGAGGGTGAGAGAATTTACCAGAGACAGAGTGGGGAACAGAACAGGCAGTGTGACTGAACTGCACTGCTGAGGGGAGCAGCGGGCAAGTCAGGAGAGGTCTGCCGTGCCATGTAGGTAGCTCCCTGACCAGCTAGGGGATCAAAATCGTGTTGACAGGCTATGGACAGCTTCACAGTGTGTTGCTTATCCCCGCACCAGCAGGGAGGCCCCTTTTATTCATTTTGAATTGGTTTTTGTGTGATTTAGATTTAGTCATCTAGTTTCATTCTTTTGCATGTGTGTGCAGTTTTCCCAATACCATTTACTGATGAGGCTCCTTGCTCCAGTATCTGTTCTTGGCTCCTAATGTGTAGATTTAACTATTCCTATAAGTCTGGTTAATTTCTGGGATCTTCATTCTATCCCTTTGGTCTCTGTGTCTGTTATTGTTGCCAGACCATTTTAATCATCCAGTATTGTTTTAATTACTATAGCTTTATAGTGTAGTTTGAAGTCTGGTATTGTCATAATTTTTCCCCTTTTTGTCAGAGTTGCTTTGCTATCCAGGGTCTTTTGTGGTTCCATATGAATGTCAGTAATGTATGTTTTATTCCATGAAGGTGCTGTTGATAATTTCGTGTGTTGCGTTGACTCTGTGTAGTGCTTTGTGGAGGATGTTCATTGTGGCCACCTTGATTCTTCCAGTCCATGAGCAAGAATAACTTTCCATTTCCTTGTGTCATTTTCTATTTCTTTTAATTTCAGGAATGCATGATTATTAGTCATCATGTGTATATGCAACATTAAGTTCACGGCCAAAAGTTTAACTTTGTCTTTCGTTATGCCATTGCCCTCTGTTTCTGATTAATCACCTCCCTTTGCCCATCTTTCTGTTAGCCACTAAATGTTCTTATATAGTCCAAAAGTATAGTTTGTTTTATTGACATGATCTGTTTATTTGTTTTCTTTATCACATATGATAGGATAGATGACTTTGTGTGCTTGGCTTATATCAGTAAGGATAATTCTCTTGTGCAAATGGCACAATTTCATCTTTTTACTATGTAAATAGTATTCCATGATAAACATATACCACATCTTTTTTTCCATCTGTCGATCACTTGGATTGTTTCTACCTCTTGGCTGTTGTGAAACCACTGCCGTGAATGTGGGTGGCACACACCTCTGTAATGTGTGGTTTTTGTGTGTATTTTCCAGCTAAATACTCAGAAGTGAGACAATTGGATCATAGGGAACTTATATTCTTAAATTTTTAAGTATTTTACATATTGCTTTCCATAATAGATGCACAAGTTTACATTCCACCAACATTACGTAAATAAGTGTTTCCGCTTCTGGCCTCGGACACTGTGAGCTCAGTGACCAGTGACCAGATGGCTTCGTAATGGATCCCAGAGCAGGGAAAGGACGGTGGGACAGAGAACACAGCACTTCTTTGCAAAGTATCACGCCGACTTGCAGCGTTTGCAACCCGGGTCCCTCAGTGGACAGCAGGGCAGGTGGCTGTGGTGTCATTGCCTGTGGCTACAGTGGTGCAATGGGCACACGGCCTATCAGGTGCCGCCTTCATATCCAGGCCAGCTGAGTCCAGAGATGGGACCCTGTGGACTAGACCCAGCTCCAGTCACCAGGAGACTCAATCCGTGGCAGGAACAACCTGAAGGAGGTAGGGAGGGAGATGAGGACAGTTGAAGACCAATTGGAGCTTCTGTAGAGGGAGGGGGAGGAGGTGGAGGTGACAGAGTTCACGTCTCAACAAACTGAGATAATACTTAAGTCCCAGACTCCCCACTGCCCACCTCACGCCAAGGTAAACTAGAAGAGAAGCAGTCAACTCTGACCCACTATAAACCTGGCAATGAGGTGACATAAATACTTAGAAATCAAGGAACATCCGAGCAGAAGAAGGAAAAAAAGGATCAGAGCAGAAGTTCTGGCTCATATACAGGGGAGAGAAGCAGAGGAGTCTCAGTGACATGGAGCAACAACATTGAATACACCCGTGAGTTATGGGAGGTGACTCAGGGCAGACAGGCCGCTGCGAGACCTTGAAAAGAAGATAAAGAACCAGAGAGTCTTCACCAAAGAGATGGACAATGTTAAGAGAACACAAAAGAGTCTCTGAATGTAAATGACCACAAATATAGAAAGTGTTTTAGGTGGAACTAAAATGGCAAACAAAATAACTTCAGAGCTTGAGGATCCAAATGTATAAATCACAAAATTAGGAAATCAGAGAGAAATAAGACAGACACGGGAAAATAAGGAAACGATACAAAAAATGTTAGACTCAACTGGAGGTGGAAACATCGGGATAGTCGATAACCCAGAAGATGAAGGAGAAGGGAGGAGGGACACTCTTCAAAAAAATCATTGCTGAGAATTTTCCAAACCTAAAGAATGAAAGAAGCATGAATGTCCAGGAAGTGGGGATAACACCCGAATTTCAAAGTGAAAATGACCTTCACCCTGACACCCCACTGTTGAATTATAAAAAGTCAGAAAAAGGAGAAGAATTTATAGAAGACCTGAAAGAAGAGAGAATTGCAAATGCATCTAAATTAGGTTTTCCTCAGATTTTTCCCCAGTCACCCTCCAGGACAGGAGAGGAAGGAAGTGCTCATAATCCTAAACACAAGGACTTCCAGCCAAGAACACGCCACCCTGCAGAATTATTCAAATATGAATGTGAATAACAGCTTCCCCAGACAGAGAGACCCATGGAGTTGATCGCCATCGGGTCTGCCTGCCTGACAATAAAAGCTGAACAAGAGTTCTGGAGTATTATGGGTCAGCAACAAAGAACCAAACTGAAGGAAGTAAAGGACAGAGTCAGGGATGACACGAATGGATACTTTGTTTTGACAGGATTTTTCCGCAGATATACTGTAATCGTTTGTTTTTACCTGACACGGTTATACATATTTTTTCCTTCATTTCTTTTTATTATTTTGTAAATGCCCAATTTCTTGTTGGAAACATTTTATTAAAGAAAAATTCAGGCACACCATGCTTCTCTTAATATGGAACCCAGTATACAGAACAGTTAAAAATAATTAAGGAAATACAGAAAACATGTTAATAATGTATAAAAGAGTGATGTCAAACTCTGTTCCTAAGCCAAACCACAGATTATCTCTGACTAACTGAGGACAGGATCATGACTTAGTCCATGGACTGTGACCCTGCTGCTCCCGACCAGACAATCTGAGGAAGCGGCCCCCTTCACGTTGGGGTTGCTCTGCAGCTGAAGAGCCTCACTAGGGCCTGCTTTATGTCTTTGTTTCTGAGACTGTAGATGAAGGGGTTCAGCATGGGGGTGACCACCATGTACATCACTGAGGCTGTTGCACTGTCCCTGGAGTCCTGGGTAGCAGCGGAGCTGAGGTACACGCCTAGCGCCGTCCCGTAGAACAGGGAGACCATGGAGAGGTGAGACCCGCAGGTGGAGAAGGCTTTGTACCTGCCGCTCGCTGAGGAGATTTTCAAAACAGAGGACACAATCTTAGAGTAGGAGAAAAGGATGCCACTGAGAGGAATCATCGCCACAGTCCCCGCTGCTAAATATATCACCAGCTCATTGAGGAAGGTGTCAGAACAGGCAAGCTGGATCACCTGGTCCAGGTCACAGAAGAAGTGAGGGATTTGCAGCTGTGAGCAAAAGGACAGTCGCAAAACCAGTAAGCTGTGTAACAGAGATTGTAGAAGACTTAACACCCAGGATGCAAGAAGCAGGAGGCCACAGAACTGGGGGTTCATGATGACCATGTAGTGCAGGGGATGGCAGATGGCCACAAAACGGTCATAGGCCATGGCTGTCAGGAGGAAGGTGTCCAGTCCTCCAAAGAGTAAGTAGAAAAACACCTGGCTGAGACAGCCCGCGTAGGTTATGGCTTTGTTCTGTGTCTGGATGTTCAGCAGCATCTTGGGGACGGTGGTGGAGGTGAAGCCAACGTCGGCAAAGGACAGGTTGGCAAGGAAGAAGTACATGGGGGTGTGCAGGTGGGGGTCCGTGACGATGGCCAGGATGATGAGGAGATTCCCAGTGACCGTGACCAAGTACATGGCCAAGAATGCCCAGAAGAGGAGGGGCTGCAGCGAAGCCTCTTCTGAGAGCCCCAGGAGGGTGAACGCTGTGGCGTGGGTTTGGTTTCCTGGCGCCAGGTCGCTGGTGAGCCTGGGGGATGGAGACAGAAGTGATGTCAACTTAACCACAGCAGATTAGTCACAGAATGAGTTTAAATGGGGTGATTTTATTTTAAATACGTTCAGTTAATGAATTTGATATTATAGACCTAGTGCCTTTTACCTGAAATTTTCAAGGCTGTCATGACCCAAATTTTCTTGATGCTGCAAAGAATTACCCATTCTTACCTATAATGCAAACATTTTTCCAAGTCAAAATTTTCTTTTAATATATTGTGTGTTTTCTTTAAATACATTTAACCAATTATACAAATATTGTTGGAATCATGGAGAAAAAGCAGTGAGACTGACTCTGAAAAATCCAGTCCTAGGGCCTCCCTGGTGACCTAGAGGTCCAGACTCAGTGCTACCATCAGGACAGCCTGAATTCGATCCCCAGCCAGGGAACTGACCCACATGTCAAAAAATAAGGACAAGCTGAGAAAGAAAGACAGGGAAATGCTAAAATAGTTGTGGAGAACACCCAAGAGGAATTTTCATATCCTGAGATGCATCCATTAGGGGGTGAGACTGAGTTTACATGAATGAAGTAGAATAGAACAAGTAAAGGCCGTAGGAAAATGTCTGAGTGCATTGTCTGAACACATCAGGACATTGATTTACAGTTCTCTTCCATCAGTTGTGTGTACGTGTGTAGATGTGTACGTGTGTTTGTGTGTGTGTCGTTTTTGTATGTATGTGCGGGTAGGTAGGCTACATCACAGAGTAAAAGACAGATCTTACTTTAGGCCACAGTAAGAAGAATCTGGCATCCATTGCATACAGGAGAGAAGTATTTGAAAGGTCAGTTCTTGCTAATGAGGAAAGACCATGTGAGTGAGGCCCCAACTGTGAGAGCCGGGGCGGGCGGAGAACAGTTACCTTGGACATCAGGGCCCCCAGGCCGACTGACCTGCTGTAAATCCGTCACTTGTAATGGGGTTGCTTTTTCATGTCACAAGGAAGTCATTGCCTATGCAAATACCAGAGAGCTCCTAAATATGTGTTTTCCAGAGGAGACACCTAGATGGTCAGCAAGCACATGAGGGGGTGCTCAGGATCACTCACCAGGGAAATGCAAATCCGAACCAGGAGCTGTCACCTCACAGCTGCTGACAGAGCTCCCAGGGAGATGACCAAAGGTCAGCACTGGGGTGGGGCGCAGAGAGCCTGGGGTGCTGTCGGTGGCTAATACACCTCTGCAGCCAAGGCGGAAAAGAGAACAGTGGAGCCTCAAAATAGCAAAGTGAGACTCCCCTGTTACAAAAGCCATGAAAACAGGACATCATAAAGCTCTCCGCATCCCCTTGTTTATTGAGCCAAAATTTAGAAATAACCTGCGAGTCCATCAGTGGACGAATATAGAAAATAATGTGTACACGTATAGATATAAAATATATAGGCCTTATATTTATATAGGATGGCCCTTAATTGTCCAAATAAATATACATGGATTATGTAAAACATATAATGTATAATACACACACATGATATTATTGTGCTATTATAATACACATTCTATATAATGAAATATCTATATAATAAACTATCCAGTCAAGAGAAGGAAGGACACCCTGCCTTGTGTGACAACCTGAGCACCTAAGAACGTTCTGCTATGTGACAGAAGTCAGAGAACTAGAAATACTGCATATCACTTCTGTTTGCGCTCTAAAACAGACTTAAATTTATTACCTGGACCGGGTGGGGTTTTGGAAGAAGTTGTTTCAGGATACAAACTTGAAGCTGGAGGATGATTAAGGTTCTGGAATCTCCTGCATTGTGACAGAGTCAACAGTACTTTCTTACAACTTTCTAAGTTGTCGAGAGATTATCTCTGAATTATTTTGTGACAAAAGTGAATATTCATTGTGTGCATGGATGGAGGTGTTAGCTAGTGCTACAGTGATAATCATATTGCAAAATGTAAATATATTAAATCAACATGTTTTTCTCCAACTTGCACACTGTTTCAATTCAATTAAATCTCAGTGAAAATACGACAGATGAAATTACAAAAGTGAGGAGACAGAGTAAGGAGAAAAAACAGATATGACATGAACACAAGGTGTATGATAGCTTAGTACTACAAAGATTGCAAGAAAACAGCCGATGTTTAAAATACATAATGGGACACAATAGGATCTACCGAGCCCCACACAAAATTGAAAACCTTCAACATTTTGCCAACAATCTCCACGTATGTAGGGGAATTGAGTGCAAAGCACTTATTTTGAAAAACTCCAATTCTGTTTGAATATTTGAATCACAAACCAGAATCAAAAATTAGAAACTGTGCATCAATGAACACTAAGAATGAGCACAATTTATACTTGAAAAAACCAAAAACCTAACAAGGAAAGCTATGCAGATTTGCAAGAAATAGAGTGGTTGCAAAGTAAAACTCTTTAGTCTCCCCCAACTGACATTAAAGAAAAAGGATGACTTCTGTGAGCACCTGCTATGAGGGAACACTACACACTGTTCCTCTCCTCAGCTGCTCTGTGAGGTCATCCACCTCCATTACCCTGGATCTCTCCAACACAGATGCCCTGCTATCACCCCGTCCACTCCCGTCATACCCTTCACGTTAAACACTTTATTTCCTACTGCCTCAACTCCAGACCTTCCTGAATCTGTCCTAACTTTGCTGGAACCACATTAAACCCCCCACTCCAACTTCCATCTCATCCTAACAGATTTTCCTTCCTGTCTCTTCACTGTCAGCACCATCTCTGTATTGTTGAGAGCAGTGGACAGTTTTGAGTCACAAATTAAGGAAATTAATTAAAAATTGATGAGTCAGTCAAGCAAGAGAACATAGAAACCTCTTGTCCCTGGGCCTGGTTTGATCTCTGTGACCTGAGGCAGAACTTCTCAGTTTGCATTTTCTCTGGACCTGTCCCAAGTGCCTGCTGGGCTCTGAGACTCACCTGGGTGGGGGCTGTGAGGGGGGCTTCTCCATGGAGCGTCTGAGTCCCTCCTGGACGCTTGAGGAGGGATCTGGGCTGTGTCACAGACAGGATCTCAGGAGGGCGCCAAGGGCTGGTCCCTGGGCAGAGGTCGGGCTCCACAGACAGGAATCATGTCCTCTCCGGTCCCGGGTTGGACAGTCTGAGGGACCGAGGGAGACAGGGTATTTACCGCCCTCCACGTGGTCTCATTAGCCACACCTCACTCTCCTGCTCCACGCTCTGAGCTCATGAGTTCCCTGTGGGCACTGGACTGAACAAAAGGAAAGTTTCTTAATGATTCTCTGATCCCAAGGGACTAGATTAGATGTCAAGTGAATCCAATTTTAGTTACTCCTTTATCATGAACTCCTGCACCTTCCAGAGCTGTAGCTACCCAGCACCTTATTCTCACTCTGTGTTCAAGTTTTCCAAATGTCTGTGGCTAAGGAACCCTCTTGATTTTACGCCCTGGATCATCAAGGCACAAATATTTGGGGGCACAGACCACCCCCCATGCCCAATAGTGCTGTTCCACTCTAATGAAGCAGAGAACTGAGTTCCTTTATATAAAACCTAGACACCACACTCCTTGTTGTCATGGCACTTTTGCAAAAGCAAATGGGAATTTTTTGTTTTTGTTTTTATTGTGAAGTGACTGCAGCCGCCTTATGTTTGAAACTCCAGAAGGAAACGACTGTGTTCCTAACCAGCTAATATGCAGGGCCAAAGAACAAAGATTTTTGTAACTGCCAACTCACTCTGAAGCCCGTGCACCCCCTCAGCCCCCCCAAAAGTAAGCAGGTGTCCTGCTTAGCAGCACAGGGAAGTGCTAACATGCTGTACCGCTGGCAGCAGGGGGCACTGCCCACTCCTGACACTGGGCATCACCGTCCTCACAGGTCACCATCGTCATCCCGAGCAGCAGTTGTCTGAGCAACCTGTAAATTGTGCCCAGACTTCACTGCCAGAGCAGGGTCCGTGACAGCCCAGTGAGCAGGAGCAGGCGTGACAACGAACTCCATGACAACAAACTCCAAGTGAGGGTCTCCAGTTGCTTTTCAGGCAGCCAGAGGAAGGGCTTGTAGTGACCTGTGACGGACTCGTCTCAGTACTGAAAATTATTCTTTTGGAGATGATCGATTTTCCTTCACTTTCCTGTCCTTAATGTCCACTTCATTGCCACACAACACAACAGGGATATTTTCACACCCAGTACCAGGTCTCTATGCAAGTTAGGCACGTTCTGGGAAATAACTCGATGTTACATCAGACAATCTAATGGCACACGGGTTTGCACCAATAGCCTCTCTCCATCCACCAGATGTGTCCTAACCAGCGGGGTACCTCATGTTGAACTTGGCACGTCTCTGTGGGTGTGGAACAGGAGAGGAAGGCCCTCAACACCCAGGTTCTTTATGTGTCTTTATTTGTCAGAAGTACGCTGTGCAAATACATCCTCCCTTCAGTAGTCTGAGTGAGTGTCACCGGGCTGTTTTCTTCAACTGTACAGCAGCATTTTGGTTGATATAGTCCAAATTATTTATGTTCTCCTTTGTTTCCTTTGCTGCTGGGGAGGATTCCACAAACACATCTGAAATTTATGTTATAGAGTGTTTTGCCCAAGCTTTCTTCTATGTGTGTTATAGTTGGAGGTCTTACATCAAAGAATTTATGTATTTTGATTTGTGTGTTTTGAGATAGAGAAGTCTAGTTTCATTCTTTTGCTCGTGTGCCCAGTTTTTCCAATATCATTTCCTGACGAGGCTTTCCTGGCTCCAGTGTACATTCTTGGCTCAAATTTGTAGATTAAATGTTCCTATAAGTCTGGTTTTATTCTGGGGTCTTGTTTCTGTATCATTGGTCTCATGTCTGATAAAATTCCCGTGCCATTTTAATTATCCAGTATTGTTTTAATTATTATAACTTTGTAATACAGTTTGAAGTCTGGTATTGTAATAATGAAGTTTTCCCTTTTTTGTTAGTTTCTTTGCTTTCCAGGGTCTTTTGTGGTTCTGTATGAATTTCAGTAATGTATATTTTATATTTTAAAGCATGTCATTGATAATTCCAGGTGATTGTGTTGACTCTTTGTAGTGCTTTGTGGAGGATGGTCATTGTGGCCACATTGATTCTTCCAGTCCATGAGCAAGAAATAACTTTCCATTCTTTGTGTCTTTTTGTATCTCTTTTGACAGAGTCTTATAGTTTTCTTTATTCAGGCCCTTTTCATTCTTTGTTAAGTTTACTAACTAGGTATTTAACTTTTATTTATTTGGGTGTGATTGTAAGAGGGATCATTTTCTTGATTTTTTTTCTCACCTAACTCATTGTTTATATATAGGAAGGCAGCTGACTTTTTTTTTTTAATATTTATTTATTTATTTATACAAGCACTGGGTATAGTCAGAAGCGCGGGAGGGTGAGAGAATTCACCAGAGACAGAGCAGGGAACAGAACAGGCTGACTGACGAAATACACTGCTGAGGGGAGCAGCGGGTGCGACAGGAGAGGTCTGCTACGCCATGTGGAACCCTCGCCTGGGGGCCAGGGATCGAACCGGTGCTGCAGAGGCTGAGGGCAGCTTCATAGCCCAGCGCTCAACCGCTGCGGAAAGGCAGCTGATTTTGTTTGTGTCTATATCTTGCCACTTAAACTGCACTGGTTTATTGTTTCAGTTAGATCCAACATCCATGTAGCCTGAAAACCCTAAAAACTGGACATAAATGGAACTCATCCTACAATAATAAACACTATTTCAGACACTTATTTCTTAAAACATCCATCTGAATATTGGTTAATTATTCCCACAATATTATACACAAGAAAACAGACTTCAGACCATCTTTTTTAAAAATAATTTAAGAAAGCAGTTGAAGCTTGTGTAATCTTTTGTGTTTTATGTATAAAATGCCATACAGTATGGATGCCTAATTTCTTATAGCTCCTCTCATTCACTATTTATACATTTTATTTTATACTATAAAATAAGTTTATTATTCACTTTGAAACATAAGTTAATTTTAATCCAAAGCTATTTATTAAATGAGACACTCCCATTAAATTCTTTTCCATTTCCTTTGAGTTTGGCTTTTAATTTTTTAAATTGAAGTAACCTTACATTATAACATTATATAAAAATCAGGTATCCATGATTATTCATCAACATGTATATGCGGCCTTATTCACTGCTAAAATTTCAAATTTATCTTTTATTATACCATTTCCCTCTGATTCTGATTTAACCCCCATTCCCACATGTTTCTGTTAGCCACTAATTGTTCTTACATAGTCCAAAAGTATATTTTGTTTTATTGACATGACTTGCTTATTTGTTTTCTTTATCACATATGAGTGAAATCATATGTCATTTGACTTTCTCTGTTTGGCTTATTTCAGTAAGGATAATTCTGTTGTTATCCTCTGTTGCTGCAAATGGTGCAATTTCATCTTTTAATACCAAAATTGTATTTCATTATCTACATATACCACCTCTTGTGTCCATTTGTCCATCAGTGAACACTTGGATAGTTTCTGCCTCTTGACTATTGTCATAAATTCCACTACAGTGAACATGGGTGGCGCACACCTCTTTGAATTAGTGGTTTTTGTGTGTATTTTACAATTACATTCTCAGAACTGAGACAATTGGATCATAGAGAACTTATATTCTTCAGTTTTTGAGGAATTTCCATACTGCTTCCAAAATAGATGCACAAGTTTACATTCCACCAAATACATAAGTGTTTCCTCTTCTGGTCTGAGACCCTGTGAGCTCAATGACCAGTCCAGGAATGGAAACTCTACCAGAGTTAAGAAATCAGAGTTTTCAGGCAGAGTCCAGATGGCTTCATAATGGATCCCAGAGCTGAGGAAGGACAGTGGGACAGAGAACACAGCACTCCTTTGTAAAGTATTAAGCAGACTTGTAGCATTTGCAACCCGGTTCCTCAGTGGACAGCAGGGCTAGTGGTTGTGGTGGTCATTGCCTATGGAAACTTCCTGAGTCAAGCTGTGCAATGGGCAAACAACCCACAAAGGTGCCCCCTTCATAGACAGGCCAGCTGATTCCAGAGATGGAAAACTGTGAACTAGACCCATCTCCAGTCACCAGGAGTCTCAATCCACGGCAGGAACGACCAGAGGGAGGTGGGTGGAAGGTTCCAACAACTGAAGACCAATTGGACCTTGCTGTGGAGAGAGAGGGGAGAAGGTGGAGGTGACAGAGTTCACGTCTCAACAAACTGAGACAACACTTAACTCCCAGACTCCCCACTGCCCACCTCACCCCAAGGTGAACTAGAAGAGAAACAATCACAACTGACCCCCAGCACCCCAGCTGTACACCTGGAAATGAGGTGACATCAATACTTAGAAATCAAGGAACATCTGAGTGCAGGAAGGAAAAACAGCAGCAGAACAGAAGTTCTGAGAGAGAAGCAGAGGAGTCTCAGCGACGTGGAGCAACAACATTAAATACACCCGTGAGTTATGGGAGGTGACTCAGGGCAGACAGGCAGCTGCGAGACCTGAGAAAGTAGATAAAGAACAGGAGAGTGTTCACCAAAGAGATGGACAATATTAAGACACACAAAAGTGTCTGAATGTAAATGAACACAAATGTAGTAATGTTTTAAGTAGAATTAAACTGGCAAACAAAATAACTTGAGAAATAGAGGATCCAAATGTATAAATCACCCAATGAGGAAAACAGAAATGAGACTTAGACACAGGAAAAATAAGGCAACACTACAAACAATGTCAAACGCAATTAGAAGTGGAAACATAGGGATAGTGGATGAAGGAGAAGGGAGGAGTTTCGCCTTTCAAAAAAATCATTGCTGAGAATTTTCCAAACCTAGAGATTGAAATAACCGTGAATGTTCTGGAAGTAGTGATAACACCCAGATTTCAAAGTGAAAATGACCTACCCTTGACACCCCACTATTTAAATTATTAAAAATCAGAAAAAAGGGAAAAAATTTCACAGGATGCGTGAATAAAAGAAGATTTGCAAAGGCATCCAATGGAGGCTTCCTCAGATTTTTTCCCCAGTCACTCTCCAGGACAGGAAAGGAAGGAAGTGCTCATAATCCTAAACACAAGGACTTCCCACTAAAAATACTCCACCCTGCAGTATTATTCAAATATGAATGTGAATAAAAGCTTCCCCAGAGAAGTCCATGGAGTTGATCACTGTCACATCTGCCTGCCTGACACTAAGCGGACAAGAGTTCTTCCACAAGAAAGAAAAAAATGAAAAAACCCTGAGCAAAATGACATGAACAGGAATATTATGGGTCAACAACAAAGCATCAAAAGGAAGAAAGTAAAGGACAGAATTAGGTACAACTGAGTATTAGCCCTGGACAATCATGGATACTTTGATATGACAAGAGTTTTCTCTAGATAATTCATAAGTTGCTTGTTTTTACCCGAAAGAGATGTACATATTTTTCCTTCATATCTTGTAAGTACCCAGTTTATTATTATTGTTAAGTACCCAATTTTCTGTTTTAAACATTTTACTGAAGAAAACTTCATTGAGACTATGCTTTACTTAATACAGACCCCAGTTTTCAGACCAGTTAAACATAATTAGGGAAATACAGAAAACATATTTATAACGTAAAAAACACTGATATCAAGCTCAATACATAAGACAAACAGATTATCTCTGACTGAGTGATGACAGGCTCATAACTTAATCTGTGGATCATGAGCCCTGCTGCTCCCAACCAGACAATCTGAGGAAGTGGCCCCCGTCACGTTGGGCTGCTCTGCAGCTGAAGAGCCTCACCAGGGCCTGCTTTATGTCCCTGTTTCTGAGACTGTAGATGAAGGGGTTCAGCATGGGGGTGACCACCGTGTACATCACCGAGGCGATTGCACTGTCCCTGGAGTCGTGGGTAGCAG